CCTCACTGCGTTGGCTTTATTTGTCCCAGACCAGTTAGTTTTCAACCCGAGCCCCTCATATGAGCCCTTCCCGTGATTCGACCCGTAAGGCAGGTACAGCACTCAAATGACTACTACATGCAACATTCCTCATGTTTGGCGGGGGATGGACATGCGGCACTGGTGAGGATGGTTAGGCGGGTGCCAAGAACACTCTAAAACGGAGGGGGGGAAGAGGAAGAGCCAGATGCCTGCCTGCTTTTGCACCGGAACCACTTCCAGAGTTCCCATAACAATGCTGCATACCTAACCTCACACTCACACTCACCACCACACACATACACTTGTTTTGCTCCCCCCCACCTTAGGCAGGGAAGACCCGTCCAAGACCACGTCACAACCCACTATCGTTGTCGATTCATGGGTGCTGGGGCCCTTTTTCTACTTATTGCCCGATCTCTCTGAATCCTTGGGGCTTGCCGATAGCGCATTTATTGCACACGTTCGTTTCGGTCTAGTGCACGTGGACCCCTGACCCAAACAACACCGCCCACCGACCCTGGCCCTCCAAAGCAGACTCGCCTCATTGTTGATCTGAACGAAGTCCTCCCCCCCTCACTCAATCCCCTCCTCTCGGGGCTTTCTTTCCTTCTTGTCCTCTTTCGTCTTCATCGGTTTTTTTTCCCCTCTGTTCGGGTCAGACTGAACATGGCGTGAGTATCTCGTTGCTTCACCGCTTGACCGTGGGAGCGGTTAGGACTGATTTGTTTTGCTTGACAGGTCATCTGGCCCCAACGGCTCGAACAACACCATTAAGGGTGCGCATCAACTCCCCGCCGCGTCGTATACTTTTTTGCGTATGGTGGTGATCCAAGACTGACGGTTCGCACACAGTGGTTGCGAGGTTCCGACCGCAAAACAAGGTTGAGTTGTCCTCTGGAGGAGAGCCGATTGTTGAATTCGAAAATGAGCAATCATGTTACGTTAATGTGAGCTTTTCTCTTCACGGGGGCGGGGTTATGGCATAGGAGGCAAGTTCGCCTAGTGAGCTAACTCAGTCCAGGCCCGTGATGGCTCTGGAGCCTTCACCTTCGACCGCGTATTTCCTATGGACTCGAAACAAACGGATATCTTCGACTTCTCGATTCGGCCCACCGTCGACGATATTCTGAATGGTTATAATGGAACGGTCTTCGCTTACGGTCAGACGGGTGCGGGAAAGTCTTACACCATGATGGGTTCGGATATCGACGATGATATGGGCAAGGGTATCATTCCCCGCATTGTCGAGCAGATCTTCGCCAGCATCCTCACGAGCCCAAGCAACATCGAGTACACCGTCCGCGTGAGTTACATGGAAATCTACATGGAACGAATTCGAGATCTGCTGGTGCCGCACAACGATAACCTTCCCGTTCACGAGGAGAAATCGAGAGGTGTCTATGTCAAGGGTCTGCTGGAGGTGTACGTCTCAAGTGTCCAGGAGGTGTATGAAGTCATGCGACGTGGTGGTACAGCAAGAGCGGTTGCGGCGACAAACATGAACCAGGAATCCTCTCGGTCCCACTCCATCTTCGTCATCACGGTTACACAGAAGAACTTGGAGACCGGCTCCGCAAAGAGCGGACAGCTGTTCTTGGTCGATCTGGCAGGTAGTGAAAAGGTTGGAAAGACGGGCGCTAGTGGTCAGACGCTCGAAGAAGCGAAGAAGATCAACAAGAGTTTGAGTGCTCTTGGTATGGTCATCAACGCGCTGACGGACGGCAAATCCACGCATATTCCATACCGTGACTCCAAGCTTACTCGTATCCTGCAAGAAAGTTTGGGAGGTAACTCGAGAACGACCTTGATTATCAACTGCTCTCCCAGCAGCTACAACGATGCGGAAACCATCTCCACCCTGCGTTTCGGTGTGCGCGCCAAGGCAATTAAGAACAAGGCGAAGGTCAACGCCGAATTGAGCCCTTCGGAACTGAAGGCGCTTCTGCGCAAGGCCCAAAGTCAGATGACGAATTTCGAAACCTACATTTCACAACTCGAGTCTGAAGTACACGTGTGGCGCAGTGGCGAGGCTGTTCCCAAGGATCGTTGGACCCCCGCCAGAGGGGATGCTGTGAGCGCCGCGAAGGCCGAGGCTCGTGCGCCACGGCCCGGCACGCCCTCCCGTTTCCAGGACACGCCTCGATCCGAGACTCCTCGTCCTGAGTCCAGGCTTGGCGACCGCTCTAGTACACCTAGCCTGGTTCTCGAGAAGGACGAGAGAGAGGAGTTCCTTAGACGCGAGAATGAGCTCCAGGACCAGATCGCGGAGAAGGAGTCGCACATTGCGAACGTCGAAAGAGGTCTCCGTGAGGCACGGGAGGAGTTGAGGAGCATGAAGGAGAACTCCGCCCGCTCAGGCAAAGACAACGATAAGTTGACCACCGAAGTTAATGAGCTTCGTATGCAGTTGGAGAAGGTGTCCTATGAAAGCAAGGAGGCCGCCATCACTATGGACAGCCTCCGCGAGGCTAACTCCGAGTTGACCACCGAGTTGGACGACGTTAAGCAGCAGCTTCTCGACGTCCGGATGAAGGCCAAGGAGACCAGCGCTGCACTGGACGAGAAGGAGAAGAAGAAGGCCGAAAAGATGGCGAAGATGATGGCCGGGTTCGACTTGGGCGGTGACGTGTTCTCCGATAACGAACGCAAGCTTCAGGACTTGATCCAGCGGGTCGATTCCTTGCACAAGGTCAGCGAAGCCGGCGAGACGATCGCGCCTGACGACCTTATGGAGCTGCGGGCGAGTCTCCTGGAGACCCAAGGGTTCATCCGTCAAGCCGAGCTCACGATGAACGACCGGGGAGATTTCAATGAGCTGCAGGACAGCCGTAGAGCGGAAGTTGAGCAGAAGCTGGCGAATCTCGAGCGGGACTATGAGAACCTTCTGGAACGAAACCTGGGCGAGGGCGATGTGGAGGAGATCCGGGAGCGGTTGGAGAAGGTGTACGTGACCCGGAAGGAGGCCGAAATGCAGGCAGTCACGGACCTTAGGAACGAGATTGCACGCAAGGATGATGAGCTGGATAAGCTGCGGCTGTCCCTTGCAGACTCTCAATCCCGGGTCTCGACCAACGGCGCCGCCGGCAAGAACCTGCAGCAGCAGATTGCCGACTTCGATGCCATGAAGAAGTCGCTCATGCGCGACCTCCAGAACCGCTGCGAGCGCGTTGTGGAGCTTGAGATCTCGCTGGACGATGCTCGGGAGCAGTATAACAACGTTCTCCGCTCGTCGAACAACCGGGCTCAGCAGAAGAAGATGGCGTTCTTGGAACGCAACTTGGAACAGCTGACTCATGTGCAGCGGCAGCTGGTAGAACAGAACAGCAGCCTGAAAAAGGAGGTTGCTATTGCGGAGAGGAAGCTCATTGCCCGGAACGAGCGGATTGCGAGCTTGGAGAGCCTGCTCCAGGAGAGCCAGGAGAAACTCACCCAAGCGAATCACCGGTACGACCCTCTCCTCTCTTATGATGAAACCACGAAAGCGGGTTGCTGACTAGATGATGATACAGATTTGAAGCCCAACTCACTGCGGTCAAAGAGCGACTCGAAGCTGCGAAGCAGGGCTCTACGAGGGGTCTTCCAAGTATGGATGGCAGCGGCGGTTTCAGTTTTGGCGGCTCGAGAATCGCAAAGCCGCTCCGAGGCGGCGGCGGAGGGAACGAGAGCAGTGCTCCAGTTGCAGGAGTCCAGTCGCAGGAGACTGGGAAGCGTACCAGCTGGTTTTTCGATCGACGATGATCCACGATTTCTCTTTTGCTGTCTCTTTTACCCATTCTCCGAAAATATTTGAAGCCCTGTTGACATGTCGATATCCTCGCGTACGGTCATTGACATGACGTTGGATGAACGCGTTCTATATTTTATTTCATGATTGTTTCTTTATTCTTATCCCTTTCCATTTCCTCCCCTCGTTTTTGAGATTTGGCACATTCGGAGTCCCCAGCCTATGTTACGAGAGGCCTATGGTTCTCACCGATACCCTTGTACATGACAGATAGAAGTGTTCACGGCCGCAGTAGTTGATTGCGACAGTGGGTGGATGATAGAAATGACACGTTAGATTATGGAATGGTGTTTCGTAGTTACTTTCTCATCTAGTGCGATGTTATCTGGTTCAAGATCACACTTTGCTGGTTCCGTGCTTGCAGGCCAGATCCCAACTTTCCACGTGATGACATGCATGATAGAGATGATCCCTTCCAAGATATTTTTCACCGCCACAAAATCTTAAGGCATTCCATGCCCGTCTGATTACCTACTGTGGTATGTGAGTAATAAGCTTGTGCTGGTGTTCTGGGCCTGGGCCATAGAGCAGTGAAGTCATCCCTTCGAACGCACTGGAGGCCCTCAGTCAGGTGATATCGCCATCGCTTGTTTCCCCGACTTTCGCTCCTCCCTTTCTCCAGCTAAGCTCTACAATGGAGTCATGTCAGAGCCAGCGAAAGCTTATCCCCTTGCCCGTCCATGTGCATGTCGGTTCGCTTACAGGAATGTCAACAACATGTCCTCCCTTGATACAGGATTCAGCAGCCCAATGAGCCTGTGCGCATGCGCCGCTCATGGGGAATGTGCTTAGACAAGAGAGACCACCTGCTCACATACTAACAGCTTCCTTTCACTCTTTTGAGGGCCCGCATACCTCTTACACGGGATTCAATGCTTCGCCTTTCTATCGAACCTTGGACTGACAGTGCTTATTGGTCGATACACCCCACACCAGACGAGATTTGAGAGTTTGATCGTGCATCCTGACAACACATACATCAGATCCACGCACTACTTGCATTGCGGCTGGCTGAAGTTCTCTTGAAGAGTATTAAAGGAGACACTTGCAATAGGATGCGACACTTCCACACCAAGACCGCTACGCTTAATTATCTCCACGCCAAACCCTTGGAAACAGCCATTTCAGCCACATAGTATTTCAGGAAAGGCCGACAGATTCCTACGCCGTATATTCCGGAACCCAATCCAGAACCATGACTATCAATAGCAAAGCAACGGCAACCCAGGACCGCTCCTCGAAGCCACTTATTGTCATTGCCTGCGCAATAATAACGGGACATACTCTCCCATTACTGCCTCACGCCAATGAGCTGACCGAACAAGGCTTCGATGTCTCCTTCATTGGTGGTCCAGAGTTCGAAACCCTCATCCGCAAAACCGGCGCCACCTTCTACCCAATAGAACGTTTATACTCCCAGGAGAGCCTAGACTCCCTGGACTCAATTCCTGATCGCAGCGCCCGCATTATCTGGGGTCTAAAGACATTTTTCATCGACTTGACCGCATCCAGAATGAAGTCACTACAGACTGTTCTGGAAACTCTCCGCGAAAAGCACCCAAATCGCGAGGTCGTTCTCATCCAAGAGCTCGGCTACATGGGAACCTGGCCATACCTTCTCGGTGCACCCCCACCCAAAGGTTACAAGCAATTTCCCAAGACCCTTACATTCACCACCACACCGTTGCTTGTCACAAGTGTCGACACAGCACCGTTTGGGAGCTGTTTAGCTCCCGACTCCAGCGACGGCCGAGCCCGCAACGCTGCGATGTACGCCGCCGAGAAAGTTATCCGCGATGAGCTAGTTGACTATAGCAACAGCGTGTATGCATCGCTTGGAGCAACCATGAAAGTAGACCAGTGGTTATTCGACCTGTGGAGCACCCATACCATCCTCCTGCAGCCCTGTTCCCCAAGCTTGGAGTACCCGCGCAGCGACCTTTCACCGAAGGTCCGGTTCATTGGCGGCACACCATGCAGGAAAACCGACCTATCCACACCCCTGCCTGGATGGTGGGGTGAACTGGAGACGAACAGGCACGCAGCGAACCCGAAGAAAGTCGTCTTCGTTACGCAGGGTACTGACAAAACCTATTATAAGAACTTACTCATTCCCACCATACAGGCATTCGCCAACCGGTCAGATGTCATGGTCATCGGCGTGCTGGGAGTGAAAGGCGCAGTATTGGATGAGGATCACCAGATACCCAACAACACCAAAGTCATTGATTACCTTTCGTATGATGCGGTGCTTCCGTACGTTGATGTCTTTGTGACAAACGGCGGGTATGGCGGTTTTATGCATGGCGTGATGAACGGAGTGCCCATGGTATTAGCTGGAACAGTTCGTAAGTGACCTCACCTTCCTCTTTGAGACACCAAGTCCCTAACCATTATTTCTACGTCTATAGAAGACAAAGGCGAAGTATGCATGCGCGGAGAATGGGCCGGAATTGGAATCAATCTGCGAACCGATACTCCCAGCCCTGAGACCATCCGAGAGAGTGTAGAGCGGATATTGAGCGACCCAAAATACAAGGCTCGTTCAGTGGTAATCCAGCGGGAAAACGAGGAACTGGACAGTGTTAGTTCACTACGGCGGTGTATTCTCGAAGACGAGTAATCGCATTCAATGTCCCAAAATAGTGTACGCCTATCACCACAAAATCATTTATCGAAAAGCAAGCACTTATACTATATCTCAAGATTATAGTTAGGGCATATGCCAAGAAATAATCATCCACAAATAAGTGAGCACCAATCGCCACCCACCAACGAAAACAAAGGGCAAGATGGCCGAGTTGGTCCAAGGCGTCAGGTTTAGGTCCACCTAAATAAATCAGCTTGTTTAAAGCTTCCTGATCATCTTTCGATGGCGTGGGTTCGAATCCCACTCTTGTCATTTTTAACACTCCCTCTTTTGCTTTTCGTTTTTGTAGTTTCTAATCAGTCACCTGCTGGTTAGTCTATTCCATTGGGTTTTGGTGTTTGTTTGCTTGCTTTGAGGTTCTATGCTGGTGTTTTGTTGAAGACAGAGAGAGAACTGCTTCGGTTCTTGATTGTACGCCGTGAGTATTTAGTATTACGTAGTGGTCATTTAGTGAGGAAGGTGTGTGTACTTGTGGGCTGATTGGTAGCATACTATTCTAGATTATATACAAGCGAGGCCTCGGGCACTATATCGTACTAATTATACACTTCTTGAGGTATATAGTACCAACAAGGATAGGACTCCCAATCGCCGGTATAAATAGATAGCATTGCGTGTGTTTCTTAGATGCCATGAGTGTAGTTTGAATTCTATCTATACCATGAATAATAGAGCTAAGATTTCTATCCTATATACACCATATGTTACACATAAACAAGCAGAGCGGAGAGGGGGTATCATCTACTACGTATCGTACAAAAAGAACGCCTATACCTTCACTCACGACTTACTCTCTTTGACTGTTATCGTGATTTCACTCAAATACGGATCCTCAGCTAACTCCTTGGCCGTCTTCCGGTCTTCAGGCAGCCAATGCAAGATATTCCTAGCGAAGGCCAGAAATTCATCTTTCTCTGTACCCTTGAGACAGGTTACTGTGTCTTCGAGAGTCTGGTTCTCTGGGATGAGGTGCTTGTGTAGGAATTCACCTATATGCCATTGTGGTGGGGTTTGTGAGTATAGTATCTATACTGGATAGTAAATAGGAGGTAGCGGTGGTATAAACTCACCATTTTCGTCAAAGAAAGGCCCATCGAACCACTCGGCAGGCGAGTTACAAAGCTTTCCGTCTGGATTCCGTAATCCAATACCGAATGTTCGGTTGAGTCCTTCTTTCTCCCGGGCTATCAATTCCTGAGGTGGCGGGCCCAGAAAGGCTATCATCTGCGCGAGATGAGCTGCCGGGGTGCCTCTTAGGTTTGAGTCGCGGGCGTTGGAGAAGAGAATTTTGTCTTCGATCAGTTCCCACATCTATATCCGATACCTTCTCAGTATGTAGTAGTTTGGTTAATGAGGTGGGCGGAATACCATTACTCCTAGGTTCCATATGTCGGCGCTGTATGACCAGCCCGCGCCGAGGAGTACCTCGGGTGCGCGGTAGCAATCCGGTTGGATTGGCCAGGTGTTTGTGACGTTGTCGAGTTGGAATTGAGCGGATCCAAAGTCAGATAGAACTGGAAGGAAGTCAAGGGATTTTGGACGGCCGAAGTTATTGTGGCAGAGGTAAATGGTATAGTCGCCGATTGTCTTTTGGGACATAGGTTTTGATGGTTGCGATTGGGCAAAGCTGTGTAGGACTGAAGGGTCTTCGATGGTTATGAGGATGTTGGCCGCTTTTATATCTATGTACTTGTAAGTAATTCATGAGGATGCTGCTGGATATATAGTGGGGATTGTGAGTGGTACTAGCCGGTATGGATGATCTTGCATTCGGAGTGCAAGTAGTCGAGTCCTAGTAGGAGGAATTTCATGTAGGCTTTGAAGATGTCAAGAGGAAATGTTTCGTTGATGAACCGGCCTTGTAGAAGTGTCAAGGGCTCTCGCAGTGGCTCGTAGGCCAGACAGATGTGTGTCCCATTGGGGCTTTTCTCTTCGAAAGAATCAATGAACGTTCTCAGAATAGAGTGGCCTAGATGGTTGGGATTGGCGTCGCGGATGCACTTTTCCATATTGAGTTCATGGCTTTCGTGGCCTTCTGCGTAGTTGCAGGTGCCGATTTTCTGTGTCAGGTAGCGTTCTGGTAGCCATTTCCATCTAGGACGGAGCGGGCATTAGCGCTGTGGAGATGAGAAGGGGCTGGCGGCATACTGTTGAAGATCGCGGACAAGCCAGACGGTGGAGCTCACTCCCCAGCCAAGCTTGGTCAGAGCTTCATATCGATCATTGAAAATGTATCCAGGTTTAACGGGGAAATAGGCACTGGGCTTGAAGCCGGGAACCTTCTCCTCTTCGGTCTTGGGTTCGGGAGGAAGCTCCAGGCCAGTGCCATGGAACGAAGTGCGGGACTTGCGCCCCAACGCTGACCAGGCACGAAGTGATTGGGCGAGTCGTTTAGCCATGTTCTACTTACCGTAGGGGAAGTAGATCGCGAGGGGAGTTGTATGAAGGTCGCGCTGGAAGCTGAAAGGAGCTGTCAAGGCGCATCCCTGCATGGCTTAGATAAGCCTGTCATACCCTAGATCCATTCTGACTCCCTCTTTTTCACGCTCTCTTCGTCCAAGTTGATGACAATGACACGGGTAAATGTTGGACAGGCTGGAGTCTCAGCCTTTTCTGTCTGGGCTGACGTGCTAATAGCGACGGGCGTGTCTTAGTGCTTACTAGATGTCTGGGTCGGAGTACTAACACCTGCTAGCGGAGCTTCATTCATCCATAAGGCTGCGGGGTGCTCGGGAATATAAAGCGCAGTCATGTCTCCAGGCTGCCAATTCTTTTCTCATTCAACAGTATCTCACCAAGCGCTAATAACAGCACATTTTCAATGGCATCTCCTTTCCAATCCCCGTTCCCTCTCCCTGGAGTCGAGCACGGCCAGCGCATCCTCACATCCGTAATCGAAGCCAGAGCCAAAGCAAACAACACCCCAGCATGGGTTTCCGTTCCGATCAATGATCAGGACCTGTCACAGGGATTTCGCGACATCAGCTTCAAGGAGCTGAACAACGCGGCCAACCATGCAGCACACTGGTTGAAGCAGAACCTGCCTCCGACGTCTGAGCCATTCCAGTGTTTCGCCTATGCTGGACCGAAGGATCTTCGATACCAGATTCTGGCGGTGGCAGCGGCGAAGGTGCAGAAGGTGGTACGTATGATCCTGCCTCAGATATTCAAGGGATTTTCCATTCTGAACATATAGTAGATGGTCCTGCCCTCGCCGCTAGTCACGGCGGAAGCTCAGCTGCACATTCTCGAGAAGAAAGGATGCACCGTCTACTTGAGACCGTCGTCAATGGAAGCGCCTGTTGCAGAGATCTTAAAAGCAGCTCCACATGTCCAAACAGTCACGGTGCCAGACATCGAAGCCTTCATGCAAGAGGCAGAAGCAGAACCAGTCAACTACAGCAAGACATTCGAGGAAGGCAAAGCTGATCCATGGCTAGTATTCCACACATCAGGCACAACAGGTAACTCCCTCCCCTCTTCCCACTCACAATCAAGACAATAAATATACTTACACCCCCAGGGAACCCCAAACCAGTAACCTATACGCACGAAATGATGGCCGGAGCCGACATTGTCGCCTCACTCCCAGACATCGGCGAGACCCAAATCCACCACTACGCCCAGCGCCGCTGCTACACCCCACTCCCATCCCTCCACGTACGTCCCTCATACCCATTACCCCATTCCCCATCCCCCATTTACCCTCAACCCTAACCAAAACCCCCCAAACAGTTCGTAGGCATGACCCTCTCCCTCTGCATGACGACCTTCATCCACATGACCGCCGTAATCGGCCCACCAACGCCACCGACTCCCTCAACCATAATCTCCCTCCTCCAGCACGGCAACATCACCACAGCCATGTTCCCCCCGTCCCTAATCGACGCCCTAACCCTCACCCCAGAGGGCCTCTCCGCCCTCCGCTCCCTCCACTACATCCACTACGCGGGCGCCCCCTTATCCCGCAAAACCGCCCCCCTACTACTCCCCCACGTCCCCGTGATCCCGGGAGTCGGCAGCACCGAATCGGGCGGGTACTTCACAGAACTGCACCCCTACCAGAGCGACGCATGGGACTACCTGACCTTCAACAAGCAGCACACAGGGGTAGTATTCGAACCACGCGGCTACGACTCAACCACAACCACCTCATCCCAACTGCACGAACTCGTCTTCATCCGCTCGCCTACCTGCGCCCTCCAACCCATCTTCAAACTGTACCCGGACCTCACACGCTTCGAAACGAAGGATCTATGGCAAGAGCACCCGATCCACAAGGGACTATGGAAGATTATCGGACGGGTCGATGACTACGTGTACTTGTCGCACGGGGACGGGGTGAATGCTGCGCTGTTGGAGCAGGAGATTGTGGCGCATCCGCGGGTCAAGAATGCGTTGATTGGGGGACATGGAAGGGATAGACCGGTGTTGGTGGTTGAGGCGGTGGAGGGGGTGGATGTAAAGGATGAAGGGAAGAGGAGGGAGTGGGTGGAGTCGTTGAGGCCGTATATTGAGAGGGTTAATGGACGGTGTCATGAGTGTGTGCGGTTAGGGATGGAGAGGGTGGTTGTGGCGAGCAGGGAGAAGCCGTTTGTGTTGACGGGGAAGGGCAGTGTCGCGCGATGGAGGACGTTGGAGTTGTATGAGGGGGAGATTGGGGAGGTTTGTGCGTAGGGTTGATTAGTATATAGTAGATTGGTAGTTGTGGGGGGTGGATGTTTGAAAAAGGTATATTGAAAGTACTGTATGGATAGGCGGGTTTGTTCTCCGCTGATATAGATCTACTGAAGTAAATATAGATTGCAGCTGTGCGGGAATTGATAGCATTCCTAGTATTTCGATTATATACACCCAACTCCTGAAAATCTGGCCAATGCAATCGATCAATTCCTTTGTTACAGTAGACCAACCCCGTTACTTTTTTCACATATACACATCAATTCAATCCAGCAGAATCATGTCCCATCTTCGCCAAACAAATCAATGGGTATCTAGATATCCGTCAACCAAGCCGTCCCAAAACTCAATACAAGCACGCCAAGACAATCCACAACTCCAAACGCGCTATACATAAACTAACTCTCAAATCAATCAACAATACGCACCCGCACGCCGTCCATCCCCATCGACGACGTCAACTGATCCATCCAATCCGTCGTCGGACCCTGCTTATAGTCCGGGGTGATCAGCGACTCCACAACGAGCTGGGGATGCCCCGGCGAGCTGGACGGGGTCTGCGGGGAGCTGTACTCCGACGCTGGACTGACCACGCTCTCCGGGGATGGCGGGTTGGATAGCAGACGGGCTTCTTTCTGTAGGGTTTCACGCCGGCTCGGGTCCAGCATGATGACGAGGTAATTCAGGATCGTGAGTCCGGCGTGCACGCCCCGCGTGACATGCGCCGAATAGCCCTCAAAGAAGAATTGCGGCAGTGGTCCGATGAACCCGCGCGGCTTACTGTGGCCGGCACGGAGCATGGAGATGGACACGCCGAACTCGGTGTGGATACCGCGCAGGGCAGCGCGGGTAGCTTGTACACTTTGCAGCAAGGGGGGTTCGAGCTTGGCCCGTTTGGTCAAGGGCAGGGAGAGTAGATCGCGGACGCGTTTGACGTAACCGGGGATCTTGATGATCTCGCGCAGGCCGCGGTCGACGACGTCCGTATACAATGACGAATCGGGCAGCTTGGCGTTGTCGTCAGAGATCTGCTCGTTGAGGGATTGCCATTCAGGCTCCTCGAGAAAGCAGGCTTCGCCCTCAATGAGGGCAGCGGAGACAAGGATCGGTCGGTAGACGATGTACATGGCACGACCGAAGCCATAGAGATGGGCCTTGGGGCCGCGGAGTTTCAGCAGTGCACGGATACCGTGGGCGTGGTGGATCCACGCCTCTGGGCCGGTGCAGTGGTGCTTTTCGAACACGGCGAGCACGATTGCGGTGGAGAGGGCTTCGTCAGATTTGGCGGTCGACTCGTCGGCAAGAAGGCCGGCGAGGCCGCCGAGAGAGCGGGTGTAAAAGGAGCGCGCGACTTCATTGAATTCAGGGATATCGTAGAGGGAGGCGGTATAAGACAGGGTGCAGGCACGGATGGCCCAGTCGAAGCATGAGTTCATGGCGCCACGTCGACGGTCGACATATTCGACCCAATTGACGGGCACGCGAGTTTCGGTGCATTTGAAGAAGCAAGGGAAGGCAGTGAGAACGTAATTGGTGAAGATCTGGGTTTGTTGAGCGGAGACCGCAGTGACGGTCAGAGACGGCGAGACGGATTCGTCCATTGACAGCGGCAGCGGGGTGAATCGCACGTCGCGCCCGCGGGCCGAACCTGGAGAAGGCGGGTCCCTCTCGCGGGGCGGGCGGGGGACAAGTTGCGACGACGCGGTGGAGGTGGAAGTAGAAGAGGTAGTGGAAGTGGTCGGTGAGATTGAAGTGCGATAACGTTGTTGGAGAGCAGGTACTTCGTTGCGGAATTTGAAGGTTCGGGTCTGACTTAGACAAGGCACATTGCGAGATTTGCAGTGGTAACAGGGGGATTTGCCGTCACACTAAATGAGCGCCAATGCTGACGGTTAGAACCAGACCTCACATACACACACACACACAGGGGCGGACACCCGGAGAATTAAATGCAGCAACAGCAAAAGCCTGGTGGATACCGAGTGGTCCAGAAAGGAATGTCGGCAGTTGACATCTGGGCAGGATTAGGGGGGAGCAAAGCATGCAGCAACAGACAAAGAAGTAGCAGCCAACATCTGTGCAACACAGGGTTCAGGGGTCGAGCACAAGGAGTGGAATGGCGACTAGTAGACGCCAGGACGGGCGGCCCGATGCTTGGGGAGGGACAGCAAACAATGAATGAAGCCAACGACCAACACGGAACCATCAGTGATTCGACTATGATTCGTATCACTCACACACGCACCTGAAGATGGGCGTCAGCGCAGGCCCGACAACCGCGTGGCACTCGGACCATGCTGAAGATAGATCAACAGCCCCAGCCAGACCGGTGCGATCTGGCAGCCAAGGCATGGAGAAGATGTGAGGCAAGGACGCAGGGGGGGTGTGCGCGTGGGGGAGGGAGTGAGGGAGATCGAGCGACGTGAGAAAAAGGGGGAGGGGATGAAAGGAGGCAAGTGGAGGGAGAAAAGAGAGAAGATGAGTGTTGAATACGAGTGAGAGTAGTGTGAGAGTGAGAGGGGAGTGGATGAGCGAGAGAAAGCGAGGGGTTGTGTGAGAGAGAAAGAGAGAAGGGGAGAAAGGAACGGGGAGAAGGCAATAATTGGGAGGAGGAGGGAGAAGGGAAGAATGGCGATGAATGACTGGATGGATGTGGATGGATGGTGGATTTGGAGGTGGAGCACGCATCGGCAGGGCTGGGCGAAAGAGTCTGGACTCAATTGGTTGCGAGGAAATCATGGACCAGAGGGACGGCCTTCAACTCTCTCCAGGATCCTTCCCAAGAAACTCCAGGATTGACGGATGGCCTCGAGTTTGTCCGGGTGATTCCAACTGATTGGCCCGCTGCCTGTCCGGATCGACACCGGGAGGCGATCCATCATCTCTCATCCTGTCTCTCTTTTTCTTTCTCTTTCTTGTCCCAAGGAGGATCAATATACTGGTGTTACTCAACAGCTACTAATACTACAGCTACTACTACTCACAACCTGCAAAATATCCATCCATCCATCACAAAGAAGAATGAAGAAGAAGATTCTCCGATCCTCCCCCACACGAACCCTCCCATGTGCCATCCATCCAAACCCACACAATACTCAAACCTTATACAAAGCAAGCAAAGCATAACCCGCATAGCGATAAACTTCCCCCTCCCGACCGCACACAAGAAATAATCCAACAAAACTCAGTTGAAATTCCATCCACGTCTAGATCCCAACTCCAAAAGTCCCGCGGTTACAATCGGAAAAGCTCACCCGTTCCTGGCCGTCTTTATGATTGGCGGATACTAGAACCAGGAAGTTACTTAGTACTACTAATAACTTGCAGGAACAATAGAACAATCTTTACTATACTTATTAATGTGGGATGATCATCATGACACAGATGCATGGCAAGAGAGAAAGGGAAAGAAATAAAAATAAAAAAGACAGGAAAAGAAAGAGCATCATGCACGGTGCCCAATGTAGTCCATCCGGTCCGTGATGCGTGATGATCGTGCAGATGAAGAATCCATCATTCGTCACTGGATGATAAGGGAAAGGGGAAAAGGGAGAGAAAGAAAAGCAAATTAATACTCACTAATGGGGGACAGATCCCGGTTCTCGGGAGGAGTCCGGCTTTTTTAAAATTAAAATGAAGAAACTAGTATATTTACTTATTTGAAGGTTTAAATGATTTATTTAGTATATTGCTTGTTTATTTTGGTTGGTTGCTGGCTGCCTACTAGTACTATGTATCACCGAATCAAATCCCGGGTGATGTGGATGCTTTTAGTTAGTTAGTAGTTCCTCACTAGTCCTAGTTGCTGGGAAGTATTGGTAAAGAAGATGCGATGTGTAATCCCTTTGAATGAGCATACTAAATCAGATACAAAGCCTGGTCAACGCAAACCGCTATTCGATGGATGAGCTGTCTGTATCTGTCTATAGTCACTGCAATAGTAATCTTGACATATGCGAGGTAGTAACGCCGCTACAAAAAAAACAACCTGCCAGAAAATAAATCAAAATAACAGCTAAACGACTATGTACATACAAGCATTCATAAATATTTTCATCGGCCGGGAATTGATCACCCTCTTACCCGTCTGTACATACCCGGGTGGTTTCCCAACGGCCATAGTTCCGGCTCCAGCAAGAAGTAGAAATGTAGACGGACGATCAACCGGATGCCGCCATAAGCAGCCGACCAACTACCGGCATTTCGGTAATGCCAAGGCGTGGCGGTGGATTCCAAGCTTGGGCGCATTTATCAAGTCAATACGAGCAGTAATGGGAATCCTGAAGAATGAGCAAACAACAAAAAAAGAAAGAAAGCAAGAAGCAGCCAAGTCACAAATATGGATGGAAAGGAAGCGAAAACAGATAAAGCATGTCAACAGTTAGCGCCAATTCACCAGGAGGAGAGTTTCACCATCCAAGACATATCGAGGAAGCGCAGAAGCAACCATGGGCATAATGCGACCGGCCCGCCCAACTAGACAGCAGCAAGTGATAGTGTCGTTGTAGTCGTTGGCCGATCTATCCCTACACCAGCCCATCGTACAACGACAGCGCGCTGACAATGGTCTCGTCCCGCTTGCTGCCCTCCTTGAACTCCTCCATGTCGAGACTGCCGTTCTCATCCTTGTCCATCATGCGGAAGATCTTGCGCACCCGCTTCTCCGGCGTGTCCTCGTCTTCGGGCAATTTGACCATGGAGCCCACCTGTGGTGCAGAGAAAGGAAGGGGGGTCAGCCGGCGTGGGGGCCAAAATATGGAACGGCGACTAGGCGCGCAGCACTTACCATCTTGTAGATCGCCTCAACGATCGCCAACATTTCGTCATACGTGATCTTGCCATCACCATCGATGTCATACAATTGGAAGGCCCAGTCCAGCTTGTCCTCCATCTTGCCGCGCGACGTGACCGACAAGGCACAGATGAACTCTTTGAAATCGATCATGCCGCTGTTATCCGAGTCGAACACGCGGAACACATAATTTGCGAATGACGACGGGTCGCCAAAAGGGAAAAACTGCCGGTAAATTTTCTGGAATTCCTCCTTGGTGAGTGTCCCCGACGGACAGTCCTTCAGAAATCCTGCCCCGCAGCGATTCGTCAGCGGCTGCTTCTACCACAAACAAGGAAAGGAAATATCGCCGGGGGAAACCGGTCGCAAACCCATGAGATATCTGTCACACACCTTTATACCATTGTTGAAGTTCCTTCTTGTCGAAATGCGTGGCCTTTTGGAGTTCTTCCAGCTGGGAGGGGGACAACTTCGACTGTCTGAAAGACCGGTGAATAAATTAGTTTGATGCGGACAAGCGGGGCACACGAGGTCCGGGGTAGCAGGGGTAATTCTAAGGGATAAAGTAGGGCGCCAGCAAGGAAACATAGGCAAGCATCAGACAACTCCCATCAGGATCTGTATTACTCCGCAGCGCAGTCATTGTTGCTAGAGTGCGACCATCCATGGGTGTCCGTTGTCCTGCCCGAGGGGGTTCCCTTGTTGTTCCTGGCCAGACCCATGCGGAGCGATCGGAAAAGCGCAGCACTTACGACTTGCCCATCTTCAGATCACACACACGCTCCAAAAGCGCTCGGCTCGAATGTAGAAGGTCTTTGTAAAGAGGGGAGAAAATCGCTGGGATCGATGTATCACGGTGAGAACGCGCGATGAAACAGGGTCTCTCGGAAGGCGCGGGGTAGAGGAAAGGTTGGGTTGGATTGATAAGAGCGTGCGCTGCTTGGCCGAGGGGCAGAAGAAAGGGCGGTCGATCGGATTGAACCAGCACGGCTGACAAAGTAGGTAAGGTGGGTATTGGAATGCTAGGTCGGAGGGGAGAAAGTGCAGATCAAAAGCTGAGACAGCGGAAAACGGAGAGGAAAGAAAGGCGTCGTGGCGATGGCACAGGAGAAAGAGTCGGGGATGCTGGAACTGGAAGAGCCGCGGGTCCAGAACACGGCGGCTTGGCGGCTTCACTTTGTGACGAGGTTTGAAGCGTAAGCGGTTTGAGATCCACGGCTCCTACTCGCTCATCCACCAATTGTTCCCCTCCGCCTTCCCGTCCCCCTGCTTCTTCTACCTTCTTCTACGTCGGCCTAGAGCGGTCGAGGCTATCTGCTCCGATCTACTTTCACTCTTATTCCCTGCATACGTACTATGCGCGGCCCGTATCGTACATTCAATCGTGCGCGTCCATCATTTCTAATCCTGCCAACGGGCGTCGCCTGCCGAACACCCGCGTCCAGTCTTTCGGACTTCTCTATGTACACATCATAACCATTACAAGCGCGAGTGAAGCAAAGAACCAAAACCAACAGATGCGAATTTCAGACACAGCTATACAGGGGATATCCTAGCCCAGCACCATCCAGAACGAATCAAAGCGAATTTTACGATGTATATATCGAAAAAGCACAGTTGCGTGAAGCGTCCTCGCGGTCACCGCGCGTGCTGAGTCGGTGCGGATTTCCCTCCTGCGACTGTACCGGAGGAGATTTCGGCATTTCTACGACTCCGGGGGCGGGCCGCGCCGCGACGAGCGATCACTCATGTTAGAAGTTTCAAACGGCTTAGTCGACCTTGATGGAGCCGTAGATACGCTGCACGAATGCCCAGCTGGCGAAGAATCCGATGGATCCTAGTCACAGGGTCAGTGGAGTGAGTTTTTTCGGGAAGCTCGCAAGGGTCTTTACCAGTCAAGATGAAGACAATAAATCCGAGGAGAGCGGAGTAGCCGACATACAACACCGCGCCGGTGAAACCACCGAAGCTGACCCGGGTGATCCAGAACAGAATTGCGTTCAAGAAGACGTACCCGCCGGTCATTCCCGCGCCCGCAAACGCCCGCCAGTGCCACCGGTAGTTTTCGGCGCACAGCAAGAAGTACACCAGAAGCACGGTCGTGGCAGCAGATGTGATAACCATCAACCCGTAGCAGAGGAACAGGAAGCCAAACATGTAGTAGATCTTGTTCGTCCACAGCGAGGTCATAATAAAGTAGAGCTCCACAAAGATCGCTCCGAAGGGGAGGATACCGGTCAACAGCAGAGAGGGAACAGTACGCAGCGTACCCGTCATCGGAGGGACCTGGCGGGGGATCTGGTTGGTCTTGGTGGGACCTTCAATAGCCTACAAGCAATTAGCAACTGTCATGGAGATTCGGAGTAGGCGACTTACACGTTGCTTGAATCCCAGCCAGCTTCCTGCAACACTTAGCGGCACGCTGATCACAAACCAGATCAGGACCAGGGCAAGCATAGTGCCAAAGGGCACGGCACCACTCGATCCCTTGGCCCAAACGAACAGGTTCAGAAGGAAGAACACGCCAAAGATGAGCGCGGGAACCAGCACTGGGGTCATGATAATGTTGCGTTTCCAGGCATCGCCGCCCAGAGATTTGTAGACTCGGGCCGATACGTAGCCGCCAATGAAGCCGAAAAGCGTATAGATCAAAAGGATTGCAGTGGCCAAGAAGCCACGGTTCGCGGGGGAGAGCAGACCAAAGAGTGCGAAAACTATAGCCATTAGCAAGAGGACTGTCTTATTTGCAAAGGATGTACCTACCAACAGTCACGCCCGTCATCATGAAAAGCTGAGCTCCGTTACCGACAAGCACACTCAGAAGCAGCGGGGACTTGGGGCACCGGAACACGTCTCCGTGCACCAACTTCCATCCGGAATCCTCCTGGATACCGTCTTCCACCGCCGCGGACGTGCTGTCGAAGTCGTCTAGGTTGATCATGTCCAGACGGTTGTACCGGGCAATGTCCTTCTTCAGAGCCCTAACCAAGATCATGCTCACCATCGCGACCAGGAAGACCACGAACACAGCCGAGTTGATCAAGGAGAACCAATGGATCTTCGGGTCGTAGACATGAAGGTATTTGTCCCAACGAGTGGCCCATGCGGTGGGCGACTCACGCCAGTACACACTGTAAGTCCATGTGACCGCAGTCTCGCCCTCCTCGTTCAAGGTGATGCCGACACCATCGCCATCGCACTGGGCGGTACCATCCTCCGAGACCATGGAGTTGCGCCGGGACTCCGGCTGCACGAGCACGCCAACAACACGGTACTTGTCCTGGTTTCCATAGCCGACACGGTGATACTCGATGAGAATCTCGAAGTGGTTGTTCAAGACCGGCTGTCCCTCGTCGTTGATCGATCCCAGAGCGAACCCGGGGCTGTAAAACTTGGTCTGTGTCACGGCCTCCATGTTAATCTGCGCCCCAGGAAGCCCATCTACCAGCCAGTTGATGTTGTATCCTTGTTGGATTCGGCGGTTGACGAACTTGGCGCTGCGGGCATCAAACGAGGCCGGGCCGCAGACAGCCTTGCAGGTCTCGTTCTTGCCCATGTGCAGCTCGAACGGCGACGTCTGGATGCGGTCTCCAAACAGGATGCTTCCCAGCGACTCTCGAACATCCTTGGGACCTTCTGGGGGAGCACAGAAATGGAAGGCCGGGTGGTAGTAGTCATAGGAGAAGACGGAATGGAGCTGTTCATCCTGCTGCGCTAGGCCGGGCGTAAGATGGTTGACATAGAGTGGTACCGATTGACCTTCATCGTAGGATGTAGGCGCAACTCCGGGAAGATAGAAAGCGGCGGATAATGAAGGGGCAGTGAGGAGGAGGGCGGCGATGGGCGAGGATCGTTTGTTGAACCACATGGTGGGTATCTCTATTCCAGCGCGGTATTAGTTAGTTCTTGTCGGTCGCTGGCGGATGTCCCTGGGGTTCGGCTGGACCCAAGCTTCAAGTGGCATACATACAGGCTACAGTTTCCACGCCACAAGCGATATTCAAGCTCGCATGGGTTGGGGGTGGTCCGGGTAGTAACCACCTACTTGAGATGGAGACCAGGAATTCTTAACGAGGAATTGAACCGAAACCGGGCTCTTCGCTGAGAGAAGAACGCCTTGCCCGGATGCATTGAGGCCAGCTCGCGCACTTGGGCGCACGTGAACTTCGTATGTCTGACTAAGCTGATGCCTATCGACACGTGCCGATAAGCGGTCTCTAAAAATTTCCCTCTCGATCTCGGCGACGGACAACTCAACAGACAGTCAGAGACAGCACAGCACACAATGGCGGCGGCCGTATCCCAGTCCGAGCCTTCTGGCTCGCAGAATATCTCAGCCCTGCTTGAGACCCTCACCACGTGTCTTAACAGCACCGGATCATCGCTCCCCAAGACGAAGCGGGATGCGCCCTCAGATGTCTCGATCGAACCGCCGCAAGATGGCATCTCGCTACTTGACACCAAGTCCGATCTCCTCCTCTCCTACATGCAGAACCTCGTATTCTTGGTAATATTTCAGCTGAGGGGTCTCAAGTCATCCGCCGACAAGGACGCCGAAAAGAACGACTCGCTCCCGGACGATATTGTGAAGAAACTCGTTGAACTACGTGTCTATCTGGATCGCGGTGTCCGACCTTTGGAAGGACGGCTGAAATACCAGGTCGACAAGGTTATCAAGGCCGCTGAGGATGCGGAGCGGGCTGAGCGCGGAGCCACAGCCCCCAAGAAGGGCAAGAAGGCCAAGAAGTCCGCTCGCGACGAGGAGTCTGGCTCCGACGAAGGTAGCAGCGACAGCGAGGGAGACAGTGAGGAGGACGAGGAGGATGAGGAGGAGGAGGAGGATATAGATGAGATGGCATTCCGACCAAACGTATCTGCCTTCTCCAAGAAGGTCGAGCCTGAGGCCAAGCAGGATAAGGCGGCCGCGAGAGCTACAAGCGACGGCATCTACCGACCACCTCGCATTATGCCCACAGCCCTACCAACTACCGAAACCCGGGAGCGCAGGGAGCGCCCGCAACGCCGGTCCAATGTCATCGATGAGTTCGTTAGCGCCGAGATGTCATCCGCACCTATGGCCGAGCCCAGTATCGGAAGTACGATTGTACGCGGTGGACGACAGACGAAGTCTAAGAAGGATCGCGAGCGTGAGGCTGAGCGGACGAGATACGAAGAAACCAACTTCGTGCGTCTGGCGAAGGAGAGCAAGAAGGATCGGGCCAAACGTCTGCGTGCCGAGGGCCCGCGGGGCACCTTTGGTGGGGAGGAATGGCGTGGTCTTACTGAGGGAGCAGACCGGATCACGAAGCTCACCCGGAGATCCCAGGGAAGTGGCTCAGCGCTGGATCGGAGTCGGAAGCGCAAGAATGAAGATGGGCAGCGCGACGATGGGATGGGAGTGGGACAGATCTTCGAGAAGCGGCGCAAGAAGGTGGACAGCTGGAAGCGGTGATCGACTTGTATACATACTTTTCTCACTTTTACGATGCACTATCTATATTTCTTTCTTCGAAGCGCTCTATACACACTGGATTGTTTGGACGTGAGCAACCTGGACTGATCACTGAGCATAAAGTAGCCCATCTGCACTGGATGCTTTGATAGCCAGAGTGATTTGCGATACCAGAAAAGTTAATTTCACTATCACATTATTTCGCAGTGATGCAATTATTTATCTATTGTAGGAGCAGAACCTTACCAACAGGCACCAGGCACATCTCGCTGGTTGGCCGATCTTAGAAACCAGAAAAGCAACCCGTCGCATCCGGCCTTTGCGACGCCCGCATCCATGACATCATCCCCAACTCAGCTAAATAACTATTCCCAGCTTTCCCCTCCAATTCCCTTCATGTGCCTTTATCTACTGTAAATATTATATGACAATTGTCTATCAATTCTATCAATTCCATCAACCCATTCCTCCGAACCATCTCCGCCAAGAACAGTCACAAAATGGAAGACCCAGGTGCGTCCGTATCTCCCATCCACATGGCGCCGTACCTGTACCACCTCACCACCATCACCCCGTGAAACTAATCTAAATAAATATCACAGCATCTGAAATCACACCTATAATCCACCACCTCACGCAAGCTCCCCCAGATGACCAACAACGAACCATTCAGAAATACTTCACTCCCAGCGCAGCCTTCATCCACCCCTTCTGTCGCGTCTGGCCCTATCCCGGGAGTCGCTGGTTCATCGAGAGGATCTACCAATGGTACAAGATCATGTCGCCGCGAATTGAGCTGGAGGTGCATTCCGTAGGTGGGAATTCATATTTTATCATCCTTTAACCTCTCTTAATTAACGAGTAGCTAACGATTCAAATCCAACATAGCGTACGACAAACCCAACCAAAAGCTCTACCTCCAAATGTCCCAGCTTTTCTCCATCTGGGCCATTCCTTTCCATCACGCCCATGTACATCTAACCACAGTCTTGGATCTCACTACGGACAGCGAAGATAACCGCACGCCACGGACAGGGTCCGGCAAACGGTACTACATCAAGCAGCAGGAGGACTTTTACCAGACGTCGGAGTTTATCAAGTTTGTGGCGCCGTGGGGAGGGGGCTTGCTGGTTACTATATGGCAGTTGCTGGCGACGGTGTTTTGTGTGTTTGGGGTGGTGCTGTTCTGGCCGGTGTTGTGGTTGGAGGAGAGGCGGTTGGTAGGTAATGGGAAGAAATGAGATGATATATGTGTGAGGTGGTCGGTAGGGTTGTATGGAATGGTGGTGTATATACCCGGATATATGAGGATATGTGACATACAAGTAATTAATATTGGCTTTCACGGGATTTTCTTTTCACAAGGGAGACGCTTCAGGAGGCAATTATATTACTGCTATCATTGAAGTCATACATCTTCGTGCGTCTATATCCCCTGTGGAAGGTTTTTAGAGCTAGATAACCAGGGCTCCATTCAACGGAGGTGTTCGTTCTTCGCTATCGATGTGACTGTCTTGAATTCGATCTACTAAGCCGATTCAGCAGTTATAGCTGACTCGGTGCCATTGGCAGTACTGTTGTACCCAGAGAAGCACGACAAAGACGCTCTAGCCTAGTACCGGAATTAAGATATAATGAAACCAAGACTGTAGTCACATATATATATATTCTTCAATTCGAACTATTGGGGTGTACTTGTTTCCCGTGGGCATACATACAATAATACACTATCTACTCAAATATCCAGTACACCTGTTGGGCATTGGTCCAAATAACACCTCGGATGCTGCAAAATGCTATGACTCAAGTTCAACCAACACGGGCGCAATTGAATAGAAAAGGAATCAATCGCACCTTCGGTCACCCACTCTACTTACTCGTCGTAGCGAGAGTGCCGACGGAGGGCAAAAAGATGGTCCCAGAGGGGCTCGAACCCTCGACTTTGACGTTATTAGCGTCACGCTCTAACCAACTGAGCTATGGGACCCAATTGATATCTACCCGCTTGATCTTAAAAAACATAAACCAAGTAAAGAGTTTGCGGTCTGTGCACAAGCTGTCTACTCAATTGGTTTTAGCGATATAGCTGAAACGTAACTACACAGTCGGTCCTGTTTTACAGCGGTATAGGACATTGTGCAAATTATACGGCTGTCTATTACCTTGCAAATGAGGGACATTTATGGCCATAGGAGAACAGATACTAAATGGGATATCAGAGATGTTGCATCACGCCTTATGTCATGGGCCTACCTACGTATATGCTTGGTGCCTTTCACCCTGTATATTGTGCGGCTTTATATATGGGTGGCTACAGGCTACGTAGAAAATTCGAAGTTGGCTATTATCATTTGACTTGTTCTGAGGCCTAGACTTTCTTGGTCTATCCGGGCTGATAAACCTAAGTAGGCAACCATCTTGATCAATTCTGTCCAGTCGGTCAGCATGAACAATCGGATAATATTTCCGTCAGCGGAGACCGTTTAACAGAAGACTAGCGTCATCACACAGTCAAAGCTAACGTTAGGGCAACGGACGTTGAGAGCTTAGCCATGATTACTATGTCCCTCTCATATTCGATCATTTAGGGTTATTCGAAATAGGAAGTGAGTGGATAGCTCAATATCCAACATGCCTCCTATCATCCTAGCCAGAACATACATTTGCTCCACTCTTTCAGATGTAAAACTCTGCACGGCTCATGTAGTCCCACATCAGCCGACGACACAACAACCGGGTCCCATAGCTCAGTTGGTTAGAGCGTGACGCTAATAACGTCAAAGTCGAGGGTTCGAGCCCCTCTGGGACCATCTTTTTGCATCTTTCAATGCACATTGCAGCTTGGTTTGTGTAACTGGTCGCAGTGCAATTCTTTTTGTATGGTTGCATTGAATTGGAGTGGGATGCATGGCGTTGTTAACAAAGATGTTGTGTTTCAACACAACCGAGTTTCATTTTGTCTACGCTTGGCACCCACGGTTGATACTATGAATCGAAGTTCATGGCCAATGTTCAAGATAGTTCAAGCCCTCAAATATCATATAAAGAGCACGAATGCGGACGGCAGTTACCATGTGGGAATATATACGGATGGAGCACAGCGACTCTAGTATGGCCAGGTTGATATGTCAGTTAGCAAAGCACCCAGTCATTACACTCCTCATAGGATCACCCAACACTGCTTCCGAATGAAAGATGATCATCTGAAATCAAATTTTACACGATGTGACAATGTGAATGAGTAAGATATCAATCCATTGTAGTGTAATGAGACCAAGAAAGGAGATCGAAAAGCAATCTTTCGAGCCACCTCAGGCGACACGCAAACTTGAACATACGTACTTAGAAGGCACACAAATTCGTTGGTTCATCTTAACCAAGCGAAGGAGCTATACAATTCCCCGGTTAACCCCGAAAACTAATGGTAGACCAGGTGAAATAGCAGTTCGTAGTGACTCAGGTTGTCGCCATGGTTATCCTGAAAGTATGTTAGGCATGTCGGAAATCTCATGCTCAGCTAGCTAGTCCTCGGTCACGGTGGACAGGGGACAGATACTATGCGGCGTCCAGCCCTTGGATAGTGTCATAGCGGGGTATATGACCAAACAGAATTGCAGGGGTAGAGGTATACTATAGACATCATACCTATCAGCTCGGGCCAAAGCTATGGATATCCGCCCTTGGATATCCGCCCTTATCTTGGGAGGCGGAAAAGTACAATGCTACGTACAACAGAGCTAGAAACTGCTAGACAACCCATGGAATGAGGGATCTTCGGACGAAATCCGAGAACCACCCATACATAGACCTTATATGTGTCCCATCTCACCCAAAAGTATCATCGTCATCTACCCCACCCAATGGCCATAGACGTCAGCATGTGCAGGTTTAGGCCGACGGAGTTGCCGTTGAACTCTTCTTATTTTGCTTGTCCTACAGAGGTATCGCTCACAAAGAAGAGTCAACACTCCATGCTCTGTCGAAGCAAATCACCACCGTCCCTGCACTCGTAACTATCCAGCAACTACTACGGATTTTCCTAAATGTTTTAACTTCTGGTTCATAGAGCACGGAATTTCTGCAAGATACAACAACTGGTCCCATAGCTCAGTTGGTTAGAGCGTGACGCTAATAACGTCAAAGTCGAGGGTTCGAGCCCCTCTGGGACCATCTCTTTTTGCTTTTTACCAGCCCACATTTGCGGTGTGTTCCGTGTTTTATATTCGGACTATCTTAATCTCCGCTCTGCACAGGTGCTTGCGTGTTCGATGTCTATCATGTCATATGCTTTTTTTATGCCCTTCGGTCCATGTTTATGCTTGGAGACAGCCAGGGGACACCCGCTTGAGCAGACATGGAAGAGATTAGGATCATCCGACAAGGACCTGCCAAATCCGGCGTGTTGCCTAAATTAAGCCGAGCAGGTGGACCAGCACATGTGATTTCCCAGAGCAGCCGGACAGGGATGATGGCGGTGCTAAATCGTGGACGTTTTCCAACAGGGCTTAGACAGGTGGGTTACGCCAATCACACGCCAATAAACTGACATCACGCCGGTCAGGGTCTGGCTTTTAGTGTGGCTGGTGCTGCACTGCTGCCCCGCTCGGACTGTCCAATTATGACCAATGGTGGCCGACAATCCCGTTGTCGTCATCCGTGGACCGGCCATCCACAGCCCTGGAAAGCATCCAGGAAATGGCCGTCCCTATCCACTGATCGGCTGGCTGCGACGCCTGCATGGCTATTTTGCTGCCTTCGCTCCAGCAAACTCTGTCTCGTCTCCCTCCGCTTTTATATCACGGGAGACCCTGCCCTAAGCCTTACGGTTTCTCACCAATCTTCTGGTGTAAAACCCCAGTGAATCCATCTGCCTAATCCGCTTACACCAAACCCTATACATCCTGGGCCCCAACTCCTACTATACAAATCAGTCCGCTTTTATATACGAAGCCTATTAGATTAAACTGCCCCAATATGGGCTTCGGCGGCGTTCTCTTGCGCGCTTCCAACCTCTCCATCCGTGTTCTCCAGTTCCTCGCCGCAGCTGTCATCCTCGGCATCTTTTCCTACTTCCTTGCCGTCCTTTCTCGACATGATCAGGATATCCCGCGTTGGATGAAAGCCGTCGAGGGTCTATCCGGCGCTGCAACCCTCTATGGCATCCTCGGTATCCTTTTCACTTGCTGCCTCGGCGGCGTCGCCTTCTTCGCCTTCCTCGCCATTGTCCTCGATGTCTGCTTCATCGGTGCCATGATCGCCATTGCTATCATGACCCGTCATGGCACGCAGAGCTGCTCTGGTCGCGTGACCACCCCTCTTGGATCTGGTAATAGCAGCGATGACTCACCGTCGGGGACAAGCTATGGCTATGCCTGCGAATTGGAGAAAGCTGCCTTTGCGGTGTCGATCATTGGGATGTAAGTTCCTTCACCTACCCGATCCCTTCTCCCTTGGCCAATGTCAGGGGATAATCGATGTAAAACTTGATGTGATGCTAATGATATCGCGCGCAGCGTCTTCTTCTTGATTTCAATCCTCCTTCAAGTCCTCTACGCTCGATACCACAAGCGCGAGAAGCGCTTTGGCCCCTCCCCCGCAAATGGCTACACCTCCGGCACTACCCGGGGCTTTGCCTTCTGGAGGAGAAACAAGAACAACCCTGATACTGCTAGTGCCGATGATATGCTGCCTTCGCATCCATTGCCCAGGGATGTGGAGCTTGGTGCGAACGGCACAACGGCAGCAGAGAAGGAAGGTGGCTTGAATGGTACCAATGTCGGCGCTACCACCGCCAGTGGTGGATATATGCCATGGAGAAGCAATGTGAATAACGGTACTGCAACTGCGGGGCAGACCGGGACTTACGGCTATGGAAATTCAGCATATACGGGAAATTATTAAGGGGTAAGATGCAAGGGGTGCTAGGAGGTACGTGGTATGTACAGACATACCAGGAATGACACAGAGGGGTGTGATGACCTCCCCCAATGTGGCAGTCGCTGGGAAAGTGATGATTAATGAAATGACTCGACTAAAAAGATACCATGGTTTTTTTTTGGTTTTCTGGATGGGATGGTTCAATATTGCAAAGTACATACTGTTTTGCTTCGTTTTTTGAAAATACTACACATCATTTGGTAATAGCTGCGGGTACTGAATCTCTTGCACTTGACAATAATTGTAATAGTCGTTTCATTTGTACCATATATATAAACTCTCTGAAAACATGTGTGATTCTACATGTATTTTTGAGTGAAATTCTGCTTATCTCCACCTGTCAAATGACTCTCACCGACCCAGTCCCTGACTCAGTTGACGGCCTCAAGGCACAGGCAGAACAAGATCCTGACTAAGAGTGGTTGAGACCGAGACTAACCCGTTTAAGAGCGCGCGACTGCAGGAACCAGCGCCGAAGCGGGACTAGCGCCGATCGCGTTTGGCCATCGGGGCTCTCGCTCTTCCTCTTGCATCATCTCGACGCCTTCATCTGTCCCATACGAACATCCCTTCCTACCCTGCACTCAGGAGGATGATGCATCGTGATCACTGTGACTAGCTTTCGCTTTGTTCCCTGACAGTGCAAGCCTGAAACCTTCTACTGGATGTCTTTGTGGACCTTGCTGCCCAGGCAGAGGTTCCATCACGCTCTCCTTCCAGTCCAATATGCCGGCTACTACCATGGCCCCCCGAATTCTGGCTCCCAGCTCGGCCAGGTTCGCCACCCAATTTTCATGCGAATGATCTCTAAGCTCGCAGTGGCAACCCAACTCAATTTTGCTGCGCCAATCCACATCCCCTGTCCTTCTTTAGCTACTGTGCGTCGCAGACATATATCCAGTCGTGCTATAACACATCCCTGTCGATCGTCTAGGCCCGTGACGGCATCTGCTCAAACCTTCGTCTCCCCGAGGTTACTTCCAGCAGTTTCACGCGCTGCCTCCAGCGACACCCTGGCCACAATGGCAACTGATGAAGTCATGCAAAATGGGGTAGTCGGTAGCCCCGATAATGAGGTACAAGATGCCGATCTTAAGGGTACTCTGGGTGCCAATGAACTAGGAAAAGGTTCACCCATGGATCCAGAGTCAGACGAAGACGTACCAGTTGAGGCAGAGGAGCTTCAGGACGCTCTCACGCGGGCCCCGCCGGTCAATAGCAGCTACTTACCCCTCCCTTGGAAGGGAAGACTAGGCTATGTAAGTTTGCAACATCATTCTCTCAAACCAATTCTTATGCTGTACAGGCATGTCTGAATACGTATCTACGATACTCGACCCCGCCCGTTTTCTGCTCCCGGACCTGCCGCATTGCCTCAATCTTGGAAAACAGACATCCCCTTTCGGATCCTACGCAGCCCGCTCATCCGACCAAGAACCGTCCTGATCGGGATCAGCCCGCTGATGTCGCGCGCGGTCAGGCATATGTTGAGGCTTTAGGCCTCACAAATGCTCGCGATCTCGTCAAAATGCTGCGCTGGAATGATCGCTACGGAATCAAGTTTATGCGATTGAGCAGCGAGATGTTTCCATTTGCGAGCCACAAGGAGTACGGCTACAAGCTGGCCCCCTTTGCCTCCGAAGTATTGGCAGAAGCTGGTCGAGTTGTTGCCGAGCTCGGCCATCGCGTGAGCGTGCATCCCGGCCAATTCACGCAACTTGGTTCTCCCAAAGACGAAGTGGTGGAAAGCTCTATCCGAGATCTAGAGTATCACTCGGAGATGCTCCAGCTGCTTAAACTGCCGCCTCAACAGGATAGGGATGCTGTCATGATACTCCATATGGGCGGCGTCTTCGGCGACAAGGAAGCCACCCTTGACCGGTTCAGAGAGAATTATAAAGGCCTATCGCAGGATGTCAAAAATCGGCTTGTCTTGGAGAACGACGATGTCAGCTGGTCGGTTCACGACCTACTTCCCATCTGTGAAGAACTGAACATACCCCTTGTACTCGACTTCCACCACCACAACATCATCTTTGATTCGAGCCAGCTTCGCGAAGGCACGCTAGACATCATGTCCTTATTTGATCGAATCAAGGCGACATGGACCCGGAAGGGCATCACGCAGAAGATGCACTATTCCGAGCCAGAGCCGTCTGCAATTACGAACCGCCAGCGTCGAAAGCATAGCCCCCGGGTTTCCACTCTTCCGCCCTGCGATCCTACCATGGATCTGATGATTGAGGCTAAGGATAAGGAGCAGGCTGTTTTCGAACTGATGCGGACATTCAAGCTGCCGGGTCACGAACTTGTCAATGATATTATACCTCACGTTCGTAATGACGAAAACAGGCCACATAAGCCGCCGAGAAAAACCAGAAAGAACGGAGGCTTTGTCGATCTGGAAGGACTTGTTCCACCTCGAACTGTCCCGGAAGAAGAAGTGGGCATGGGTGGTCCAGAAGGGCGGGTCTACTGGCCGCCTGGCATGGAGGAATGGCTTCGACCAAAAAAGATTGTTCGCACCAAAGCTATCCAAAGTCCTCGCCGCACTCCTTCCACGAAGAAAGTAGCAGTCGAGAATGGCGATTCTGTGCCACAGGAAGATGAGCCGAATGGAAGCGTTCCAGCTACTCCAGTTTCGAAGAAGAGGACAACCAATGCGAAGAAGCAGGTCTCCAGGAAACGGAAAGCTTCTCCGGAGCCCACTCCGTCAGCTTCAGATGGAGAAGCATCCGAAATTCCGGAGAGACCGGCTCTCAAGCGATCCCAGAGCAGTGGTGTTCGTCGAAGCCGACGAGCAAAGAAGGTGGACTACACCGAAGATGTAGATTCTGTCTGATCAAAGAAGGTACCAGCTCTTGGCTATAACTACACATTGCTGCGGGCACCTTGGTCAATGCTCGTTGGCGACTTGCCTTCTTATTCCAGCTCTACCTTCTGAGCCAACGCATGCAATAGCAGAGAAGTCTGACTGCATCAGGTAGACCCTGTTTTGGGCCTTTCATGCGACGATTTCCTGCATGATTGATCAGCTTTGACAGCCGCCAACATGTTATCCTATATAATGTCTCTGTCCATAGACTACTTGTACACGTTTGGGTATGTAGATAGATGGGCTTGTAAACACAGCATGTTGGCTGAAAGTGCCTACTACATGCATGCGTGACATAACCCAAGCTGAATATATATATTAGCTGAGTTGAAGGGAAACAAGATATAATGTTCCTCGCAGATGCATCATGAAGGTCATCATTACGGACTATGACCCTGGCTAAACAGGGGCACTAGTACCCAAACAGACGATGTCTTCCATACCCAGCCACAAAACAACAAAAATCCAACACCCTTTCTTTCCCAGCACGATGTATGTATGTATGGCGTATTTAAGGTAAAACAATCCATACACTGAGTGCCGAGAAAAAGGAGAAAAAGCAAAAAGAAATGGTCCCAGAGGGGCTCGAACCCTCGACTTTGACGTTATTAGCGTCACGCTCTAACCAACTGAGCTATGGGACCCGGTTGATGTAAGCTGCCGGGTTTTAGTGCTACATAGGGGCTAGTGGTTACTGACAGCTCAGAATCATTTCGGTGCAGTGTCGATCAGTCTATAAGTATTCGATTCTGTGGGTTGTTGGAGATTTAATGAACAAGCTCTGTGCCTAGATGTTCTTTCTTTGCCTCACTGATGTTCCAATTGGGAGCTAACAACGAGTCGTCTAGGAACAGCTTGAGGTCCAGAGTGGAATGAATATACATATATATATTCCCACCACTGTCTTCGGCGCATTGCACTACCTATTGCTATCATGATACTACTAGTCAATGGGTGCAGCTGTAATCACACCATACTGGTAGAAGCGGTTGCATTAGTACCTAGCCATCAAGTCTACTACTAGTAGTGAGCAGCGAGCTGCCACGGCTCAAGAATGATAATAATTATCTGAGAACCGAAATACTCGACTTGGTCTGAAAGAGAACCAACCATCCGAGCATACTTCGCGAGGCCTGTTTTCGTTAGGAAAGACGTATGATACGGGCCTATGCGATTATACATCGAGATCAGCTGATCTGATCACCCATGTACAAGACGAAAAAGAAGTATTAAATGTACATAGATTGGTGTTTGACATCACAGTTCTGATACTAGGTTTTGGGGATGGATGCTGGAAAAGATGGGCTCAGGTCTCAATAGTTCAGTCCTTGATGATGATGATAATGATAATTTTGATGCTACAGGGAATGGATAGAGGATAATGCTTAGTGGTGTGTAGTAAATTGCCTGTTCTGTTGCAGAAGTAGATCGAATCTATATTTCAATTGTAAGGTATGTATGCAATTCGCCGAACTACCTATGTTACCAGAAAGTAGGCTCTATGTTGCTTTGTGCGTCGTGAACTCTATATTTAGAATTTATTGTCTTTTCAAGACCATCATAGCACTCTAGACAGTGAGATACCTCAGCGTAAAGAACCAAAGTAGCAGGTTCAACTAGACCAATGAATATAAACATATATAGACATCCAAAGGAAACGTGAAGATGAGAGTGGTAATGAGTGAGCCCGTATAGGTCGATTTGAACCATTATGGGCTCTTCTCACTCACAACATCCCCCCTTCGTTTCTCTTTCAGTGAGCCTAGAATAATTTACCATCAGTAGCAGGAGACGTCAACGTATCAAAACTTGACCAATACCCAGCCAAGTTCCGTAAGATTCCGTTTGGTACTGAACAGGAGATGTATGTAGCGATATTCCAATAACATGCCATATCACTACCTTGAGAATTTATGGGGAACTGATGGGGAAAGACCCGGAGAGAGGAACAGGGCCCACTACCTAAAGAAAGAGCAGCCGAGAATCAGATGGGCTCTTCGTAACTCCTACTACAGATTCTCTTGTGACCAATTCCCTAGGTTGCTCGAGGCTGACGGAACTAATAATATAAGACCTCACGACAAAGCGAACACGAAACGGCTAGAAGTTAGTTACGATCATACCATTTGATGCTAGGAAAAGGCAAGTAGTATCTTCGGGAATCAAGTTAATGATAAGGCAGACCTGGCTTTGTTTCGGTCCAATAATCTGGGCATCTAGTATAGTAATTTGGGTAGTAAGCAGCGGCTCATACATAGGCTCTAAGGTAAATTAGGCTTTTTTATGGTGCGACTGATTTCAGCCTCAAGCACATGGCGTACTCGCTCCGTCTGCAGGCAGGTCTGACACATGTGCTTGATACCTTGTACAGCCGAGGTTCTTCAACAATGTTAGGCCCTGATAAGGCAGGTCAGGGTAAAAAGCACGAGCTCGACCATGGGGGCCACGTGGAAAAGCTAGGAAGAAGGTGAAATCGAGGAACGAGTGCGAAGAACGTGTGGGGGCCGCAGGGGGATCTGTCAGCCCTAACTTCCTAGTTCGGTATCTCGCGCTTAGCCACGCCGCCAGCAGTCTATCGCGCCACCTTTTCGCCCCAAATTGAAACAATTTGGCCCCAATCGGGTAAGCAGTGCCCCAGGGGACCAGTGACCTCTTCAGTTGCTAGGGAGATTCAAAGCTCGTTAGCTAGTGGCGAAGGTGACTAACGGCCAGTCCGGCTTCGTTTTTCGATCTGTCTCTGTAGGTTCAATCCAGGCCAAGCGGCCATCTTAGTGGTGTGATCGTCTAGCTGCTCAGAGAAGAAGATTTTTCATATGCAGGTCGGAGGTGCTCGCAAAGTCTGACGGCTCCAGCACTACCATATATGGTAAAAGCTCCATTAGACGAAAGGCGCAGCTTTCCGGTAGCCTATGACGAAAGCAGATACAGATGACGATGGAGCCTTTTGCTTGACCAATTACTATTAAGAAAGACACAGCATGAGCTCGACCATACAGATAGATGGTGGCGGTGGAGAGAACCGTGCAGGCAAGGTCAGGACATGCAGCGTGCAAAAGTTCATGAGCCGGCTTCCTGATTGTAGAGCTATTGCGAGGAGGCAAAGCACACGAAAGCAGTTTCTAATACCGGGAGGCCATTCCGTGTAGCAGTGTGGATACTTTTGAGAGCTCCCCAGTCCAGAAATTCGGCTTGCCCGGTCGCATATGCCCGCTTACCCTCGTCCAAAGGAATAGAGTGATTGGTGGGGGCCAAGTGTTGTGCATCTTCCAGCAGAGCAATGGGATAATGGTGTTATGTCCTAGGATGAGGCTCCTTCCATCAACGGCAGTGAGTTGCACCTAATGTTAGCTCCTGAAACCCCGCTGCTATACTAGAGTACAACTTGTGTGGTCGTGTGTTCTTGTCGATCGTCGGATAGTAACTAGTCTCTGGGCTATATGTCTCTAGTACTGGTCGAATGGACTTCTAGAAAGAATGATAGAATGAGTTAGCCTATACTTATTGGCCAATCAAATCCCTCTTTGCCTGCCAACCCTACAAAAGTTGAAGCACCAACACGTTCGCTCTGATGCGGAGATGAACCGCATAACAGCACACAAAGAGCGGAAAGGGCATACTAGGTTGGAAGAGAAGTTGGAAAAAGTTTGAAACACAATGCTGATGTCCTAGCAACCATGCAGGTCGATGTCGACCCCAAGATCTTGCATATGCAAAACGTGGGGAAGCAGGGAACAAACGATATCTGTATGCTAGTCTTGTGTGGGTGGCAGACAGGCGCATCGGAGATGGCTGTGCAGATTGAGGGATTATAGGCTATTGAGCCAGCTGCTGATGAGGTTCTCCTAGCATGAGTAGAAATTACATGCTGCATTCCATATCCAGGAGAGGATTGTGACGTATTGATGCTCAGTGGCCTCATGGAAGTGTCTGGTGGAAGCCAGCCATTCGAGACCCAGAGGTCTTTGGCAGCGTAAAGAAGTGTGACGAGCCGACATTTAACCCGCGTGACTTCCACTGTGGTATCAGGAAGAGGGAAACACCAAGTGTGGGAACCACTGGGCGGAAATTGCAGGGCTGGGATACATACCCTACACTGACTCGAGGTATAGCAGGTGGGAACATGAAGCTCATCCATACCCAACTAGCTGTAAAGCTTAAAGCTACTTTAAAGCTTCTAGAGTATTCCCAGATGGCATGACCGTGCACTTTTTCACGATCGTGTCAAGTAGCAAGATGATAGAATAGATAGAATATAGGGTACGACAACTCGACACGAGGCATTGCGACTTCCTGATTGGCTTCGAGAGCTGCAATCACGTGGAAGCCACGTGGACTCGGTCGCAACTCGAGAAGGAGGACAACAAAGGCAATTTCATCTCAGAAGTCTCCTTTGCATCTCCAAGCTTTATGAATGCCATATACCACGCACTCAGGCGTTGGAGGGATCTGAGCGACCGTGATCCACGATGTCCCCGAATTCCCCGATCGCCTGTTTAGGTAGATCCCGAGTCCCGGGAGAAGCTGCTCCTCAATCAATCACAATCACTCCATGACCAAAGCGTCTCCCATCTCCGGCCCTGGATCGACGGACGCGTCGGCACTTCTTTCTGCTTGGAGGTCTCTGGTACAGTTGTCCAATGAATTCCAGTCGCAATATCTGGCACTCCCGCAAACCCTTCCAAATAGGGGCTAGACGCCGTTCCCACTTTTCTGGCAACTGGTCCAGGTCCGGACTACAAAGTACAAACTGCCACGACCAGTTAGGGAGTTCCTCCGCGGTGAGTGACCCCTGCTACCTTGATTTTCTTTTATTATGCTTATTAAAACTTCTCCTTAGCTGCCTAATTGCCAGCGGCCGCAGTGAAAAAGAACCATAATATCAGGCCACCGCTTAGGCCACGTGCGGACGATGGAGCTTCGCTGATAAGCCCTGCACGGTTGGGGCCAAGATGAAATCCTCGAATGCTGACGTTCAGATCGATTTGCTTCCGTTGGCTTCACTGATGCATGAGACAACTTGATAGCCTCGCATCTGCACCATAAGGACTGAACCTTGTCCCCGTTTCTCCATCATGCGAACCCCCGATGGTCGGGGCGCAGTCCATCGAAACAGCTAATATCCGACAACGACCTAGCGCGGTTCAAAAAATTAGCTTGATTAAACCAAATTGCGCCTCGATTGCAAGGCACTCAAGGTCTGACAGGCCGGGTGGAGATGGCCGCCAATGCGCCCCCACTTACCCTCAAGCGTGGCCGGGAGAAACCCGGTGATCCTGTTTGCGACGCTAGCTAGTCACTGTAGCCGTGCTGAATTCTAGAATCCACGCCGTGCTGATGGAAGGATGGAAACCAGCCCCCAGAGTCATGGTTGGATTACATCACTAGCCAGCGTTAGGGTG